ACTCCCGAAACTTAATATAACATACTTTGGAAGAAAAAGCGAGCGGTGCATTGCTGCAAGAAAAAGAAAACCAATTAGATGTTACAGTTTCATCTTTTTTTCAAGCTGTGCTCAAAAGCAATTGTGAACTCATAAACATCAAAAAATAAAAATTAAGACTTATATTTTTCAATATCATTTTAATGCATCTTACGCTGATGCATGTGAAAGTTAATTATAGAAGATATCAGTTCTTCTACAGATTCTTAATTTCTTATATGTCTACTTCATATGTGGTTAAGAATGTCAAGCTTTTGCCAGACAATATCACTCAACAACTGAGTTTCCTATTTACTCCATAATATAATAAAACATACATCTAAGCATAATCATTGCCTTGTTGATAAAACATTGTTTCACTACCATTTTTAAGTTTAAAAGTAACTATAAATATTCCACTTTTTATAAACTAGTTGACTCTAATAATGCTTTAATAAGTGTCACATGACCCTTCTATAATTAGCCTATATAGATAAGACCTTCTAAACAATTTAGGCTGATTTTGAAAAACCACAGTTCAATCTATCTAGCTAATTTCTAATTCATAGACATTTCTATGAACTGAAGTCAATCTGGAATAAAGATGGTGCATTATGTGACATATGAACTATAATTATGCTAATATATTTAAGAAATGGTTTAATAGAAACCATCTGAAAAAGTTTTCCAAAGAACGTCTGACTTCTATGTCTTCCTTTGAATGCCTTATTTCTTTCTTACATTATCATTGCTTCTTTGATATTAAACCTGCAGGGTCATTTTTAATATTTTGACATAACATTTACAAATATTATGCTATATAGTATTTCAGTCTATATAGAATGTTTCTAATTATTTTCCTCTGCACAGATTGTAATTTTAAAAGGCTTAAAAAGCCTTAAAATTAATAACTATTTTGGGTTCAAATTGTGTGATACAATGTTGATAATCAAACTGTAACTATATTATTAATACTCATATTTCTGTTACAAAGCCAGTCAACACAGCTAAAATTTTAATACATTTAACAACTGGATTAATTGCAGGCATGGAAGACCAAAATCTGAACTAGAATATTGTAGCCAATAAGTAGCATCTCCAATATTAGAGTGCTGATCTATGACGAGTCTTGCAAATTTCCATTGGCATTCAAATTTTAAAAGCTATTAATAATAATGCTAATTGCACAAATCAATTAGAGTGCTTAGTTATGATTACTGCACATTAGCAAATAATACTTAATAAAGCATGCTTCAGAGACTACAAATTATTTTGTATTAATATTTCAATTAATTATTAATCTGTTCACACTCAGTAAACAGAAAAGAGAACAGAAAAAATTCAACATCAGTTAATTCTAAGTAATATATAATCAGACAAAATACCCTGATCTCAAAAATGATAACTTGGTCTTTAATGGCAAAACTGTTAACTGTCATAATGAAGGTTACAGTAGAAGGATCATGGATAACTTTAAGTCAATTACTGAAGCGGTGAAATATGCAAATTCATATTCAGAAAGCAATAAAAATGAAATCCAAAATTGAGCAACAAAAATATATTTAGTTATTCAATATTTCGACTGTGTGCAGTTTGAATTTACTGAACAGAGATTGGTGTAAGGAGACTAAAAGGCTTTTGAATTCAAAAAAGAAACAACATAAAAGGTCGGTGACCAACAGTTTGTTTTATCTTAAGAGATAAATGCATATGGACAATCTAGGGTTCATACGCAGACCCCCAAAATTCCATTATTGCAGCACTGGCATTTTGTAGTAAAAAAACTATTTTGGCAGAGCAGATTCTGCCTATTTTACTGGTGATGAGGAATCCGGAGTGGGGATGATATAATTCTCTCTTTCAGAGATGTCCCATTCCTTTCCTGCTATTAAATCAAAAGAAATATTAAAAGGGAATGCAATTCTAAAACTTTTCTTTTTTCTAAAGCATCTTTTCTATCAAATCCTGTTGTTTTGTAAACCATAGTGCTTTATTTGAACATGCTGCACAAATCAAGCTAATTAAAGTTTATTTAATAAGGTTAACAAAGTCATGGCTTATGAGATACATGAAAATAACCAACAGAAAGTATTTTTCTGTGCCATATAGGATCTGTTGGGGAGATTGTCGGAAGCCTGGAGAAGGCTATTTATGAAAAGTATATTTTGGCTTTTCTAATAAAACAATTATTTCTGCATTCTATATTTTTACACGCCAAGAATTTAAAAATAAATTTAGATTTTTACTATATACTGTTATCAATAAATTATAATGAAGGAATGGCAAGGCCAAGGATCAAAGTAAGAAAATTATTCCCCAAAATTAAAAAAGGAGAAAAACAGCAATGAAGAAAGAAAGCAAAATTTTCAAATTCTAAATCCTAATAGCACTATAGACTTTATTTTATTATCAGCTATCATCGCTTTTTATAAAGTTCAAAATTCTGACTTCAGAGTCCTTGCTGAGACTCCCCATCCCAAAAAGATATGATGAGAAGGGACTCTGCGAAAGCTTCAAGAAAAATTGGAGGAACTAAATATGTATAACCTATAGAACAGCAGGGAATGGAGGGGAGGGAACATGACTGACAGTCTGAAACCTTTAAATATATTAAGGGTGTGGATGAAGTACTAGAAGGCAGTATTTTCAGTACTAAGAAAAAATCAAAACATAAGGACATAGTCTCAAACTGATAGGGGGGAAATTCAAAAGCAATGTTTGAAAGCTTGGGACCAGCTTCCAGCAGAAACAGTGGGTCAATTATTAGTAACTGACTTTAAACATAAACCCATGTCCATTGTCTGACAAACATTTTAAAAATAAAATAATAAATTAAAAAACCCTCAAAAGACAGGCTATATGGACTACTAGCGGTCTTTTTCTGACATCAGTTTTCTATGTTTTTATGTTTCCTTTTCTGTGGAATGTCCATCAGAATTAAGTCAAGATTCACTTCTAATATTCTGGAAGCTTTTTAAGAACATGTCTTTTTCAACGGCAGATCAGTGAAAAGCATGTATTAGTAAGTACATAAATATTTGCTTTTGGGTACATCTTAACCTTAAGGTTTATCTTCTTAATAAAAAGAATCATGTCTCCTATCAGTGACATGTTTGATACCTTTTATCACACAGCACATTCACGTGCAGAATTCTAACTACTTGATTATAACAAGTACTTGAACACGCCTTGGAAATGTGTCTGGGAAACCATAACAATTCAACCTTCCCTGAACATTATTTAAAGACTGTAAAACATGCATGTCGGGATTTTAAGATTTTACATAAGGTGATACAGTATCTGCGATTGACCGTACCGTGTTACAAGGAAGAACCTCCATTTATCTACAATATTAAACTAAAGATGCCTTAAATAGGTTGCAATTCCTATCCTAACCGTACTGAAATTGGCGGTTCAGCCCATGAAAATTTCATTAAACCCTGTTCCAATTAAGTAAGCAAAGGACCGAAGCTCTACAGGGTTGGTTGAAAGACTAAGGCTGATAAACTGCACAACAGAATCATTCGGATGAGCTGAGGGGGAGAAGCCTCTGGGAAGGGATTCTAGAGGGCTGCCCTTGCCGCATCTTTTCCAAAGCCAAACAAACGGCTGAGGGCTCGGATCAGGGCTTCTAACAAAGAAGCGCCAACCTCAAAGTCGGAGGCATTTCTCACAATGCCCGAAAGGGAAAAGAATGATAGGACTGAGACGAAAGAGGGAGAAAAATAAATCCGTGAATAGGTGCCATCTTCACTCCGGGCAACAATCCTCTCAGAAAGCAAAAGCCTCAAAACGGAGCTACTACCAGCCACCCACAAGCAAAATGGAGGGCGCAGCATCCGGTCAGGGTTTTTTTTTTTTTTTTAAATATATACCCCTTTCCTTAAAAGACAGTCATTCCCGCCATTCTCTATGGCTTCCCGGGCCTCACTTACTCCGGAGGGTAAAGGCGTAACTCCTCAATGTCACCTAGGAAACCGAAGAGCGTCCGCATCTGCTCACTAGTAACCGCAGAGGATAAATTAGTGACTTGAATAACCGAAGTAGGAGTTAAAGGAAAGCCGAGGGGGACCCCGATTCCACCGCTGTTCATCATGATGGCGGCAATTTCTCTATCTGACCCAAGCCAACGCACGTAAGCGAGGAGACGGAAGTTACCATAGAAAAGGCGTCTTGTCCTAGAGTGCATATAAGTTACGATGTTTCCGTTCACGTGGTATTCCATGAGGTGGGAAGCGTTAACAGCGCTTGCCCTGCGGGTATGGCTTTCCTAGAAAGGTGGTTTTGTAGAGGAGGGTGGGGGAGTCCCTAATTTGGGCTGTCATGGTTAACCAGGGGTGATAAATGATCTCGCCACTATTGGAATTGAAGTCCAGCACGTCTGAAAAGGGACAACTTGGAGAGGACAGCTCTATGGTCAAAGTATCCCAAATACAAAAACCAAGGCACAGTGCGAAGCCCGACCTTTCCTCAAGCTAGAACGAAGTTCTCCGAAAACCCCGCATAAAGCAAAATTCACGGGTTGATGCACGTGGGAAAAGGGGGGGGGGGCGTTGCAGGGTATGACGACACACGGTATTTTGTAAACCAAACGACAGTGACCGTGAATAGTCACACATTTTTAGAGCCTTGCACTCAAGCGCTATTTAAGCATATTTTCTTATCCCATATTTATATAAAACATGTTTTATATAATTATGAGACAAAGAAAATCATCCTTAAGTAGTGTGAGCGTCTTCTATAGGTGGATTTTGTCCCATATTTATATAAAACATGTTTTATATAATTATGAGACAAAAACATTCTTAAGTAGTGCAAGCGTCTTCTATAGGTGGATTTTTCATGTATGTATGGCACCAAACAATCCTTCACGTCACTAAAGGATATTATTTGCCTTGTTGGGTTGTACCCAGATTAGACCAGGTTTAAAAAGCGCTTCCTAGACCTGAGGCTCCGGCGCCAGCTTCAGAGCCATAGTTGGAAGTGTTAAGGGTTTGAGGATCGACAGCTACAACCGCTCAATGTGATGGCAGATACGAGTGGGGACTAAACGAGGGTTGGGCGGAAAGACGTCTTGGTATGTTTCCAGAGTTTTCATGTTAATTGAGTGTCCTCTCACAAATCACACGTTTTCCTCGCATACAATGAATTCATGGTTTATCAGTTGAATTCTGCATCCCGTCTTTTCACCGCTCTTTGAAAATCTAAGAAAAAGAGCAGGGAGGGAATAACGGGGAAAGACTTTTCCAAAGCGAGGAAGGGGGAGGGCCGACACTGAGGACCAGGCATGGGATCCCAGCAGCTCTCTCGGTACCGGGATCCTCAGCAAGCTTTCCTCTGGGTAGATTCAACTCACTTCGGACATTCACTTTCAGGTCTCTTAAGAAACTTGGCAAATATTGGAGAGACTCCCCTCAAATTTTGGACATTTCCCTCTGGGTCCGTCTAACAGTTCAGGGATGAAAAAGGAATCCAAAAAAAAGATTCAGATTTTGAAACACTTTGGTTTCTGGGTGTGAAATGGGCAATGATCTTAAGGAAGCAAAAAGCCCTGGACTAGTTTTGACGAATTTGTATTTTAAATACTCTCATAATTTTCAAAATGCTTGTTTAGCTTGCAACACTTCTCATTAGCATAACCCACAAAGCATAATTGAGAGACCTGGAAAAGCATCCTCTCTAAATTGTTGCCATTAGCTGTGAATTTCATTTAAGAGTCAATTTGTCTACCTAACTATCTACTTAAGCTACCTACCTTCCGGAATAGCAATCAGTATCAAATGCAAATCAGTATGAAATGATTTGTTCATACATTCTATTTAATTCAAATACTTTTTTAAAAATTCTTTAAAAATTCCAAGGGGGTAAGTTTCAACCATTTATAAAAAGAAAGTTTAATTTAAATTGAAACCAATAAAGTACACATAACTTTAAAGAGCATTAGTTTATTATCTATTCTTCTCGTGTTACTCCAGAAACAATTTAATTATATACAAAAAAACTGGAATGCTGAATAAATGCTGATCAATAAAAACATTACAGAGCGGCTGACAAGGGAATAGTTATTTTAAAAAGTAGTATACAGCAAATTAATGATAAAGGCTTGGTTCTGTGTGTCCCTTATTGCTATGATTGTGTTCACAGATGTGTTCAAGTATGTACACATTTTTAAACTCGTCAAAAATAGTAAAAAAAATATTTACACAATAAATATGTGGGACTTTTTCCAAAAATTTCACTTGAACTGATTCTTTAAAGAACTGTTACAAAAAAACCTGAATTGATAACATGATCCATTCTGTATCTATTCCATCAAATTTCCAGATATATTTTGATAAAATGAGAAACATTAGAAATCCATGGCTTCAAGAAATGTTTTCCTGTTTCGATGAGCTTCTTTTTTCAACAATTTCTCCTCAAACATATATTCTGACAATGTTTTTTCCCCACAAAAGAACTTTAAACAGAATTTTATTTCCTTGCAAACAGACAATAAGCACCATTTTTTCTTGCACTGTTACTTTAAAGTTTAAACAATGAAAAATTTTGGCAATGGTTTTAACAAAAATTAGTCAAATGAATTTCTAATTTAGTTTAAGGAATATTTCTCATTTCATACAAAATACAATATTTTGGGACATATTTCATTCTTATGACTTGTATGCAAAGATAAATAGAATCCATATTCAGTTTTGAAACTTATCTTTCATATTATTATGATTTTGATTATTTATATTCTCTATTAAAAAACTGAATTTAATAGTTAAAAGCAATGAATATGAATGTGAGTCACTGAATAAATTGTAAATAAAATAGCAACATTGAAGCTTGTCACCATATAGCTTTTTTTAAAGATTAACAGAAAATGTGAATTTTACCAAAATACAGCACATTTCTGCTAATATAAAAAACAATGCCTATGTAAATTTTAATAAAATCAACTAAAGTTAATGTACAAAGAGTTGTTAAAGGATTTCAGTTAAAATTAAGAATTATATGCATTACAATATTCAGTTGGTAAGTGAAGTGCAATATCATTTAGGTTTAGGTATTCAAAAACTACTGAGCTAACAACGTAAATTTTCCATTCAAGTATGCTTTTGCAAAATCTTTAACAGATTGGTACTTTGCTAAATTTCTTTTTAAAACTATTGATTTCTATTAAAATTTCAATTAAATGAATATTTTTCCAACGATGGGTTAATCATTCACTTTTAAAAACAGTTACTGTCTTCTATGGCACTTTTCTGTGGTCCATAATACCTATGTATTACTTATTATCTCGTGAATTAGGCAATATTATTCCATCATGAACATAATAAACATTTGTCAAACAAAATTATAATCCAATGTTTTATGCAAGTAATAATAAACAAAAGGCAGCTTGTAATAAATCACTCTTACATTAATATAGTTAGAAATCCTTTAATGACTCTGAAGTGTCGAATTCACATTTAATGTCACCTGTAGGAACAGCCCTTTGAAGAAGATCACACAAGTTGGTGGGCCCAAAATACCTGTCCCTTTACAATAGGGAACAACCTTCTATTGCTGTGCAACAGCATCCCATAACCTGGCTTTGGTTATAGCTCCATAGTATTATTTCTTTTAGTCTCACAAGGCAATTGAAGGCCAACGAAAATCAACAGTTCTTTCTGAATCGCTTATTCTGGGGCAGCCCAATCTTCATATGATTCATTATCATAAGCCTCCTTGAAAAGACCACAGCTTTTCTATTCAGAACATGCACATGTTAAAATTCAATGTGTCTCTGCATTATCATCATACATTACAGGCAACACAGCAAAAACTGGCCATTTCAGGTTCTTTTCAAAAATGTATAAATAATTTGAATATGGAGCATTTCATACAAGGCAGAAGAAAGTCATTCTTTTATATAAAACCAGGAATTTTTGTAATGAGAGTACCTTTTCAGTACAACTCCATAGCATAATTATTTTTTAAAAAATGTGATTAAAAACACTCAAAACTAAATTACACATAAGAATATGACAGGCAATGGATTTGATATGAACCAATCCTGTAGAACTTCCAGAAGTATATTTATTCACTCTGCCTTTAAAAAAAACAAACCTTCATGTTTTATTGTATTTTTTAAATTGGTGCATATACATTCTCCCATTAAATTCTTCTCCCTTTCTTTTAATTTCATACTTTTACCTGGCCTTTTAATTTAATCCAATCAGTCCACTTTCAGTCTACCAATTCATCTATACAATATGCACATTGCAAAGCCAACTTTTAAAATTTCTTACCAATAGCTACCGAAGTGGTTTCAGCAAAGATTCTAAAAATAAATGAAAAATTAAAGGCAACAAAACTGCTATAGGACAGAAAGCCCTGCCATCTGTCCACTGGCTAAATGGAGGCTCCTTGTACACAAAGTTCTGTAATGTATATGAATTATCCACAAAATAAACCTACCATCTGTACTAAATACACCACAGGTTTGTTCTTGGGAGGAGTGATCCTTGAATGCTACAATGTCTTAAAACAATTTAGCTCTAATTACCATATGCATTTCCATAACTGCTTCATTTATATTCTTTACAGTGGTTTTTCCCCATAACCACAAATTCATTATTTTATTACTGTACATAGTTTTAAAAGTTTTGCATACAAAAATAGTCAAAATATTAAGTCTTCCACAAGTCCTTCAAAAATTACACAGAATTTCCTCTTTCTCCACAGTGTTTAAGAAAGCTCTCGAACAATAGTAAGTTCCACTGTGTTCTGAAAAGTCTTTAGCAAAGATACTGCTTGCCCATGATCAATACTGATGAAGCTATATCCATTAGCCTGAAAAGAAACAAAAACATTAATTAAAAGCAATAAGTTTTTAAAGTTTGTTTTTGAACCTTTTTTAAAAAACACCATTCAAATGAAATTCTAATTTTTAATTTTCAGAAAACTTTGTTGTTGTTCCAATAACATGTCAATGAAGGAGGAATACAAAAGAGCAAACATGTTCATATGTACAGTCACAGCAGTGGTGGGTTTCAAATGTTTTTACTACCAGTTCTGTGGGCATGGCATGGCTTGGTGGGTGTGGCAGAGGAAGGATACTGCAAAATCTCCATTCTGATCCCAATCCAGGGGAAGGTTACTGCAAAATCCCCATTTTCTCCCGATCAGCTGGGACTTGGGAGGCAGAGAATAGATGGGGACGGGGCCAGTCAGAGGTGGTATTTATCTGTTCTCCAAACTACTCAAAATTTCCGCTACCAGTTCTCCAGAACTGGTCAGAACCTGCTGAAACCCACCTCTGAGTCACAGCCACTATCTTCTATCTCTAGGAACTGAATTAACAAAATCATTATCATCATTACAGCTAAGACTATAATCCTGAAATGTTAAATAGTTAATTCAAACACTTTATCTGGAAACTTTACCAAATACTGTACTATTTTGCAATAAGACTCAAAATGGTAATTCCTCCAACTTTTTATTTAAAATCAAAGATTTACATACAATTATTCATTTTTAATAATTTGTATGGTGCCTTCAGAATTTTTTTCTAGGGTGGTTTACAATATGTGGCAGAGAAAAGAGACAGTATCTTAATAGACTTTTTTCCTAATTATCTACAGAAGGGGGAAATGGGTAAAAAACTCAGAAAACTGATAGAATCTTGCAGACAAAGGCATAACGTTGTTGAAAATAATTGATGAATATTTTAAATTACATTACCTGAATAATTTTATCTCCTGGCTGTAATAATTTGGATGCAGGTCCTTCAGGCTGTACTCTAGTCACAAAAATACCCTTCAGGATAACAAAAACAGAAGTAATATAATAAACATGTATTTATGCTGGGTAGTTATTAATAGCAGCAGCTATTGGCTGGCTATATTATTTTGAACAAAAAATGTTTCAAATCTAAAATTCAAGCATGTTATTAAAGCCAATAACGTGTAGAGAAGGTATAAGAAGGGCAGTTAGTGGATATGTGGGATTCTGCAACCCAATCTCTGAATAATATTACATTTATACTTGCTTCTGATACAAAATACATGTTAACTAAGCTGACTTTGTATAAATATACAAAAGAATGAAGGCTATTGCTTAGCGCATTGTAAGCTGCCCTGAGTCTCCGGAGAAGGGTGGCATATAAATCAAATAAAAAAATTAAATTAAATTTAAAAAAAAAACTAGGTAGTAATGAAAATAAAGAATTGAAGTGAACCCAGCTTAATATCGCAATATTAGATCATATCAGTCAGTACCGCACAAGTAGAATATCTTCAGTGGCAATGTTAATATTCCAAATCTTTTCTACTGCATAGAAATTTTATTTCTACTGTGGCAAAGCTCCTGACCAGGAAGCTATCATAAAACTTCCAAACATTCCCAAGCCTCCCCTCAATTTTAAGTAATATAATTCTTCCACTCCAAATGGAAGAATTGGGGAAGGAATTGGCTATTTGTCAACTGCCAGGGGGTAGTTGTAATGAGTAGATTTCCTGAAGCCTAATGAAAAGCCTTATTGGTCAGAGCGGTGATCATTAATTACATTGGTAATTGATCTCATGGATTCTGAAAAGGGTGGAGCTGGACTACTAGGTTTATCAACCTACAGGAATCAATTTGGCATATATTTTTGTTAGCTGACATCTATAAGTTCCACTAGGCTGCTAAATCTTTTCAATAATATAGCAGATTCTACAGTTAGATTTGTTTATTTTAGAGAGTATGCTCTAAAGTATGCTTACTTCCTAAATAATGGACAGAGTAGGGGAGACTTACGCCAATGACTTGCAATCTTTCCTGCTTGGTTCCCCACTGTTTTTCTAGGGAACCTAGCAGGTAAGGTTGGAAATGACAGTCACATGATTGTGGGGGTGCTGGAACAGCCACAACTCTGACAGATCAGAACTACCATTCTTTCGTTCACCATGGTTGTATTTTCAAACAGTGGCTAAACAAATAGTTGAGAGATATAGGTAGTCTTCCACCTACAAAGCTCCCTTAGTTTTAATAGCATGCTTTACCATACTGTGAAAGAAGGCTTATTTTAAAATAAATATCTTCTTGAAGCAGAATTTTCTGATTATAACAACAGTTGAAAGAAACTCATATAAACTTTCTTTGAACATTACAGTGAATTAATTTTTATGACATGACATTATAACTTATAGTGTTACTGTATAGTTGAAATTATTTTATATTACAAACTATGTTTATGTTATGTTTATTTTTTTCTTATTTTCATGGTGAAGACAGCTTTTTTTCATCAAAAGATTATGTAAAATACATTTCAGTATTTTAATCCTGACAATTTGAAGACATTTTGAAAAGTTTGTATTATAAAAGGTTAATGAAAAATAAGCACACAAGTGATATTGCGATAGATGTAGGAAATTAAAATTCACATTTTAAACATATTAATTATTTATATCTTTTATATTCATTATACAGATGTAAAGATATTGGATGGCATCTTGAGAAAAAAAGTAATTTCCACTTTAAACCCATAACAGCTAAATGGACACTAAGAATTCCTGTTTCTTTGGAATTTCATTTAACGAAGAACAGAAGAGAAAGATTAAATATTCTATTTGTATTAAAGGCAATACGGCAATGCAGAAATACTCTAATCAAACCTGCAAATAACAGTGCAGATTTTTTAATGTCAAGGCAGTGTTATTTCTCGTATGCATTGCTTAGCAGCTTAACTGTCACATTCTATATTAACTGAAGCTTTTAGACAATTCTTTAAGAAAATTAAATAGATCATTACAATAGTTTAACCTTATTACTTGTTATCTCACCTATTATCTTCAGAAACTGAATGGCAAATAAGCTAAAGAAACAAGCCAATCAACCCGTAAATGCCTACAGACTCAAGATGTGGTGTGTATGTGAAGAGTTACAACTCACCAGTTAGGAAATGAAAACACGAAACAGATTTATAGAAAGTACTCATGATTTGGAATATGTACAAAATGATGTTTAATTATATACAATTTTAGGATTTATATGAAAGATTTATAAACATTGTATAAAGAATGCATGAAAAAAGCATTGGCAAACAAAATATTCAACACTGATGTACAAATTATCAGTATGTTTGTGATATTTGTATTTTCAATTTTTTCAAATGTTAAACAGAGTCTCAATGGATAAAGGATAAACGTTCATTTAAAGAACATATTTTTAATTAATACTCACATCATCATCTGGTCTAAAGGGGTTTCCCCTACCCCCAACTCCTCCTGATATACTAAATCCAAGTTCTGGATCTTTTTCAATTCTTACTCGAATCTAAAATATAAAACATTATATTTAAAAGCAGGTTACTTACATATTCAAGACTGTGGAAATGAAGATAATCAACCCAATTATCTTGAATATGTTAGGGATATTATTATTTTTACAGTTGATGTTTTGTTTATTTATTTTAGAAGTATTGCTTATATTCAGTAGTGGGATTCTATTGGTTAGCACCAGTTCGGTAGAACCGGTTGTTAAGTAGTTAGGAGAACAGGTTGTTAGAAGAAATCTCCTTTTGTTTTTGTCCACTTTACAGGGTTAATTCTGTAAGGAATTGTTTCCTAGCCTAATCTTTATTGCCCTGTTTACAGAAACTGCCTCTCCATTAGCCTTTATTACATTGTTGGCAGTATTCCGGTTCCAGAGCTTCTTGGAGGGTTTTTTGGGGGGCTTGATTTTCTTAAAGGGGAAGGGTTGTTTTACGCTTTTTACACTGCTGTTGGGAGGAAATACTCCCCTGTTGGAGTTCTTCCAGCCAGGGTGCAATGATCAGCACGTTGAAGAAATAATTGAATAACGAAGCAGAGGCTTTTAATGACAAGGAACCAAGATGAGTGACATTCAGCAAGATTTATTGGCTAGCTAGAAAGATTGACATTCAAACGTGAGTTTAACTACCCTTTCTGACTTTTGGTCTAAAACTGGTTTTTGGTGAAGTTTAATTCTGGGCTTGGTGATGTTTAATCCTGTGTTTAGTGATGAGATAATTTTCCCTATTCAACTTTGTAAGGAAAAATGTTAATCTCTGTTCCTGAAAAGAAGCAGCTTAGAAAATCTGACTAGTTCCCGTGTCTATTTATTCTGGTAATTGGTTTAACAAGCAACAGATACTCTGTTTGCTCTTTTGCTTCATTCTGGAGAGCTTAAATGACCTCTCTGCTAAAGGGTTTCACTTTATGAGCAAGAGTTGGCTACTGATAGTTATTATTGCATTTTAACTATTTTAATTCCTCAAGGTGCTCTGCCACCCTGCCTGATTTGTAACTCCAGTTTGCAGATATTTCTAATCTAATGATTGGTATTTAGGGCAGCTTTATGCAAGCAAAGAAGCTTTTGTATTTTTGTACAGGTAATCCTTGATTTACAAGAGTTACAATGGCACTGAGAAAAGTGACTTACGACCGTTTTTCACACTTACGACAATTGCAGCAAACTGTCATTAGGGCAAAGAAGCGATGTCACATGACCACTTGGGCACATCCACCCGGTCACATGAAGCACCGCAGTTGTGAAATGAGTGACACGGTTGTTAAGAATGCTGCAACGGGCATAAATGATGACCGGTCAAAAGTGCGAGAGCCTGTCAGAAATCACTTTTTTCAGCCCTCTGGGTAGTCCCTATGTGAATAGGGAGTACTCAGAGGGCTGAAAAAATTATTTTTGACCGGTCCTCGCGCTTTTGACTGGTCTTTGCACTTACAACTGTCCTCACATTTTACATTTTGCGTGTCACCGTGGTGAAGACTAAGATTAACTGATCCATAAAATAAAATTTTTCCCTTGCCTCTTGTTTTGATACCTCATGGCATTGTCTGTTTGGACCTTGAGGCTGACTATAGGGATGGGCAACTTTAAGCATCAGATAATCAATCAATTGCTCTCTGGAAGGATGTCTTGCCACCGGTGTTTGGGGTCCAGCATGATGGATTTGACTATAGTTTGGCTGAGGTCTTGAGGGATGACCCATCTGGCCATTCATCAAAGGTATCTGAATAAATGAAACATCTCTAAGTTAATATTTACACCAGCAAGAATATATTTTGATTTATTCACTATTCTATTTATACACACAAACACACATGCACAAAAACAAACACTGTATTTTTAAAAATACACAATAATTTCTTTATGACTTCTAAATAGCCAATATTCACTTGTTTGGAATTGTTCTTGCTGACAATCAAACTCTAAAATGACTTATAAAGCATTTGAGAATCTCCTAATGTATTTCATGGTCTCATCTCTCTCAGATGTGTTTCATTTCCAGAGAAAATGAAGTGACAATCACTTAATTATTAACTCCTAGGGCACTTTTTAATAGAAGGGCTAGTTGAATAAGCAATGTTGACAAAAACTACATTAAATTAATACAAACAGTACAAAGAAAGCAGAAGTGTTTAAAGATGGTGAAGGGACTTGACAAGAGTAAAACCAAATGTTTTATAGATGGCATTTAGATCCTAAGAAATTGTCGTGCATGTACCCTAATGTTCAACCAAAATGTTGGAGATGTGACTGCTTAGATGCTACATATTATCATGTGTGGTGGACTTGTAAGAAAGTCAAGGCTTTTTGGATAAAAATTTGGTGGGTCATGCAGAATGTTTTGAAGAAAAAAATTCAACTTTCTCCACAATTGTTTTTATTGGGTATAGTTAAGGGTTTTACATTGGGTGAAATAAAGTTGATATTGTATATGATAACAGCAGCGAGATTACTGATAGGTCAATACTGGAAAAATGAAGCTATGCCCACTATCGAGGAATGGACTTTGAAGATGGCCAGCTTTGCAGAGATGGCGAAGATTTCAGCATATTTAAAAGATCGCTCACAAGAGACTTATGAATGGGAGTGGAAAAAGTGGATAGATTATGTGCAGAACAAATATCAAACTAGGAAGTATCAGATAGCTTTTAATTGAAAGTGTTATATAAAGATAGAAATATTTGAATTTTGTGAAGATGAAAAAATATATTGGGGGTGGAGGGGTTCAAGTTTTATAAAACAGGGGATTTTGATTTGGATTATATTCTGTGGAAGTCCGGGGGGGAGGGGTGGGTTAGGGAGCGTTAGGGGGGGTTAGGGAGTTAGGGAGGGTTGGGGGGGGGGGAATGGGGAGAAAATATAATTGTAAAACTTTTTCAATAAAAAAAAAAAAAAGAATAAAACCAAATTCCTGTAAACCAGGGATATAGCCACAATCTTGGTACAAAGTCAACAAGCTCAAAAATTCGTAAATGTTTTCAGGCCTTTCAATAAGACAGAATATATGTGGAAGTTGAGCGTTCTAAGCAGCCTCAGCTATCATGGTTAATGGATAAATGCTAGACATTATCTAGATACATGGGGTTCCTTCTATCAACTTACTTCTAAAAAAATGATTACAGTAAATTGAATTCTTACTGACCTTAATTCAATGAGTTATTACAAAAGTACTTAATTTTTACATGACAGAAGTTACAGGAGAGAGCTGGATGGGGAAGGGGGAAAGAGATTCAGGGTAACCACACCCTAGAATATCTCCAGATATATCTATTAGGGTAGAGAGTTACAGTTTGGCAAGATTCTGTCCATTGGATAAAAGCAAATAAACAACTGGATTTTGTTGGACCTGATATTATTGGTCTGATTGGTCTCAAATATCTCTCTAAATACATTGAGGAATAAACTTCATTCATAATGAAGCCTTTGCATTTAGATAAAAGTCTATACGTACAGTATCTTGTAACATAAAGTGTGAGTTCTAGTCCCACCTTAGGTATGAAAGCCAGCTGGATGACTTTAGGCCAGGGGTGTCAAACTCAAGACCCGTGAGCCGAATCCGAATCCACGGGGTGATTAGATCTGGCCTGGGGGCCGCTCTGGAAAAAGTGAAGGACCAACCCATGGTGCCTCTGCCAGTGAAAACAGAGCTTGGGAAGGTCACACGCAGCCCTCCTGAGCTCTGTTTTCTCTGGCAGAAAGGTTGCAGGAGGCCGTTGCGGCTGAAAACACAGCTCAGGATCCCGTTTTCTCTGGCAGAGTGCTCAGGCTGCCATAGGCACCCCTGACACGAGTGATGTTGACCTGACCACGCCCAACCCAGGAATGCCCACCTGGCCTCCTGAGGTCAAACACAACCCTGGTGTGGCTCTCAATGAATTCGAGTTTAACACCCCTGCTTTAGACCAATCAGTCTCTGTCAGCCCAACCCACCTCATGCTCGAGTTAAATAATAAAGGTGCAATAAAAATCTAACAATAAAAAATAAATAACTAAATAAAAAGTTCCCTCATTGATTATATTACTCAGTTTAACATGGTGGACAATATTTTTCATCATCAGTTTTTGTTATGTAAATTTTTTTGTTATGTAAATTATGCTGTTACTTTTTTCTTGACCTTTACTTGTCCAACTCTTGACTTCATTCTTTTTATCCAGCATTTCCAGGAACTCTAGCTGGCTCTCACTTCCTTCATTTCCTCCATATCAGTTTATATCTCCTACAATGCTGCTTGGACTCATCATCTAGCTCTGATATTTATCTTAATGCTAGTGTTATTACCTATAGCTGGTGGAATACTGGCAGTAGGGCTTTCACCCATGTCCAACT